TTGACTAAAGAAAATCATTAAAATAAGAGGAAAAATATATATAAAAATATATGATTAGGAAAGTGGGACTGTAAACTATAAGAATTCATTTTCTATTTGGGTTTTTATCCATTTCCTGTTTTTTTTTTGTGAAGTCCTAATTGATGCCTTCTCCTCTCATCTGCGTGCTGATTGGCTGCTCCTTCTCCAGGTGCTGCCGCTGCGTTCAGGTGCAGAAAGGTTCTGTGGAGGTTCTGAACCGGCCGTCTTTCGTCCTGGCCGTGCTGCTGCTGTGGAACTTCGGCCTCCTCCTGGTGGACCGTATCCTTCAGCTGCAGGGTTTTGTTGGTCCAGATGGAGGTTAGATGTGTGTCTGGTTCCTTCATGCCGCTCTCAGACATCCACTTCCAGTATAACGGCTTCCTGTTTGGGTTCCTGCTGCTGTCTATGGCCAAACACCTGCAGGTACCGACAGCTGCTGGGTTAGACACACTCTTAAAGAAAAGAAAGTCCCCCTAACAGGCGTTTCCTCTTCATTTTCTTACTGATCAGTCTAGGCACCTGCAGGGGGCGCTGCTGTTCGCCATCCTGCTGAACCTGAAGCACATCTACCTGTACGTGGCTCCAGCTTACGGCGTCTTTCTGCTGAGAAGCTACTGCTTCACTAAGGACCACCCAGGTAATGCTAAATAATATAATTATAATACTAAAATGAATTATTTCTATCCTTAACTCACTAAAGAATGCTAATACACGCCTTTAAAAACAGTTTTATGAGTTTTTCTGAGACAATTTTGATGCTTTTTACATTTTCTCAGTTAAACTGCTTGTGTGACGTCATCATCGGACATGCTCAGAGCAGTCCTGCAAAATATGATTAAAACATGTTAATCTGCATTTTATTTGCGTCTTTCTTTAGGTTAACCACTATATAACATAATGGTAACACTAAAGGAAAACATAAAACTAAAAAAGACTAGATTTATGTTTAAATCCAAAGCAGAAAAGCCACTGGAAGTAGCGTTAGGTTCCCATTTCCGATACAGAAAAGGCAGAGCAACTGATAAAACAGAAAAGATTTAAGACCTTTATTATCTGAGGACATGCATCATTAACCTTTAACATGTTATAGTTTAGTAAACTTATTGTTTTTAAGGAGGGAAAAAACGTAATTAACTTTTCTACTAAATGAAATCAAGGGCGACCCGGATGTAAATGAGCTGATGGTACGGGTCGGGGGCTGCTTCAGGTTCTGGTTCTGATCCTGGTTGGTCCGTTTCTTCTCCTCCTGCAGACGGCTCCATCCGGTGGAGCAGCTTCAGCCCGCTGCGCCTGCTGGCTCTGGGCTCAATTGTCTCCTCCGTCTTCGCTCTGTCCTTCGGGCCGTTTGTTGCCATGGTGAGTCCCTCCTTCCTCTGACCCCAGACCCGCACCCCCCCACCCCCACCTGATGATGATGATGATGGTGATGGTGTTGTTTCCAGGGCCAGCTCTCTCAGGTTTTATCCCGACTCTTCCCCTTCAAGCGGGGCCTGTGCCACGCCTACTGGGCCCCTAACGTCTGGGCCCTCTACAACAGCGCCGATAAGCTGCTGGCGGTTCTGGGTGAGGAGCAGATTGGACCTGATACGGCAGCAGCTATTGATGATGATGTTCTGGAAGCCGATGAAGGTCCAAGCCCTCCTTGTTTTTTCTTCTAGGTGTTCGTCTGAAGCTGGTGAAGGAGGCGGAGCTTCCTCGAGCCTCCATGACGGGCGGGTTGGTCCAGGAGTTCCAGCACGCCGTCCTCCCGTCTGTCTCTCCTGCAGTTACACTCATTTGCACGCTGCTGTCCATCCTGGTGAGTCTGAACCACGCTGGCCTGTTTGATCGGACCCGCTGATTATTGGAGGCTGTGTTTTGGTTCCGTTTCCCTGGAGACAGATTTGGACCAATTGACCCAGATCAGTGCGGAAGCCATTTTATTCTGTGGGTTTTTTTCCCCAGCCGGCGCTGCTCTCCATTTGGCGGCGTCCACGTGGGAGCCGGGCCTTCTTGCGCTGCCTGCTGATCTGCGCTCTTGCCTCCTTCATGTTCGGATGGCACGTCCACGAGAAAGCCATCCTCATCGCCATCCTGCCGCTCAGGTCTGACCCTCATCCTCCAGCAGGGGGCGCCATCACTCCGTATGCACCCGAGTCCTCATGTTTGTTTCTGCCTGCAGCATCCTGGCGGTGGAGAGCAGAGAGGATGCTGGGATCTTCCTGGTTCTGACCACCACTGGACATTACTCCCTGTTCCCGCTGATCTTCACCCCCGCAGGTAAACAGGAAGCTTTTATTCTGAAGGCCGTTTGTTGCAGATAAGCTCAGTTCTGATTCCTCGTCCTGTAGCTCCTCCTGCTTTAACTCATGTCACAGATTAAACAGCATCAAGCCATCCTCTGAGATGTTGGTCCATGTTACCATGACAACATTCAGAGCCGCCGCTGCTCACTGGAGATGGATATCGATGAGAATTTATTGATTCTACTCATTGACCCAAATAGAATTTATTTGTTACACATTTGGAACAAAAACATACAAAATAAATTTATAAGTAAAAGTATTTTAACTCTAGGATAGAGAATTATTAACACTGATGAGAGGAGATTAACAAGACTAAATCAGCTTTAAACAAAAAATCATTAGTATTTACTTCAAACTACTTCTATGAATGTTTTTATATCGCCAGATTTAATTAAAAGGCAGCAGAGGAACCACATTGGATGAGAGGAAGACATGATATAATATCCTGCTACCCAGTGAGACTGACTGATGGCGCTTTGGAGGGGGGAGGGGCTCCCAGCAGGCTTCACACCACAGCCTTAAACATAGAAAACGCTCAATAGATCCATCACTGTGGCTTAGCAGATGTTTTCCAAGCTTCTCTGTAAAGCTGAGATGGTTCCACAGGTAGTGATGGACCGGTCCGTCTGGTGCCAACCACCTTCCAACCTCCATTTTAACATTTTTAGTTGTTCATTTGACTCCCGCCAGAGGAAGGAACCAGTTCCAGCTGCTGGTATCTGTTCCATTTGTCCAACCAATCAGCAGACAGAAGTGAACGTTTCTTGTCCAAACCCTCAGCCACCCTGATGGTCTGACTGTTGACTCCCTTCCTCCCTTTATTGGGAAGTTCTCCAGGATTCATGGGTTGCTTTGATCTTCTGGGTTCTGCAGCAGACGGACCGGTTAAAGTAGAGCAGAGTCTCCTGGAGGCCTGAGAGAAAACGCCCCCCTGAGTTTATCGTTTGGTTTTTGGGTCGGGACGTTTAATGAGACGTGTTGATGTGGTTCTGTTGGTTGAAGGTTCTCCTAAATGTTCTGACCCGTGTTTCCAGAGCTGCCGATCAAAGTGTGCCTGATGCTGATGTTCACCGTCTTCTCCTTCTCTGCCCTCGGGAAGCTGCACAGGTAAAGGAACACCTCTCACTGGTCCGGTTCTGTCGGTCCAATCTGAGTCTGGATGTAATCGGATTACTGTCCCCTCAGGGCCCAGGGCTCTCTGCTCCGTCCTCTGGAGATCGTCTACCTGCTGGGGCTGGTTGCTGTGGCGATCGGGTGCGAGTTCATCTTCCCTCTGTCACCGTGGCAACAGAAGCTGCCGTTCCTCCCCCTGTTGGTGACCTCGGTGTACTGCGCCCTGGGGGTCAGCTACTCCTTCCTGCGTCTATACGTCACCCTGCTGCGCTCAGACAGCAAAGCCAAACAGCTGTGAGGTCAGAAGGTCCAAACGGGCCGGTGCCAGCTGCTTCTGGGAGACACTGACACAGAACTACTGGACCCATGAGGAGGAAAAAGGTTTTCAGCCTGGGTTCTGGTCACGTCTGTTCAGATACGGTCCAGCTTCACATCCGGCTGCTGAAGAACCATGTGGAAAAAATGTTTAATGTGAGGAAATGTTTGGTCAAAGACGGGCTGATGGGTTGAAGATGTTTGGGACCAAAGATCTGCTGAATGTTTTTCTAAATAAAGAAATAATTTAACACTGCTGCATTTCTCTTTCATGGAGACTTTTAACAGGGTTCCCGTGGGTCCTTAAAAGGCATTGAATTCTTCAAAATAAAACTAAGGCCTTAATTAGTATTAAAATGTCTTAAATCAGTCTTTTGTAGGTCTTAATTAATAAAACATCATAAATAGGATATTACGATTTATTTTTGTAATCTAAATAAAACATTAAAATTGACAAATTTTTTTTTTATTTAAAAAAAAATAATGGCTCGCCGTTTTTGGTTCCGTCCCGATAGCGGAACCAATAAAAGCGTTGTTGTGGCCGGGACATTTGGAAGATGCACCATTTACTTTTTGTCTGGAAAATATAAAAAGTGTAAATGTAACGAAAATTGTCTCCAGCCAAGAGTTTTCTCCATGGCTAAAACCAGGGAACATACATGAGGCACAGTGGATTTTGTGCAAGAAGTCATTCAAGCTTGGAACGATGGGAAATAAGTCAGTGGAGTCACACATGCGAAGCACGAAACACAAAGCGTCAAAATCGAGTTACAGAGAAACAGCCGGTATTTCTCAGTTTAGTTCCACTCTTGTCTCTGCAACGCCTCCACTTATCACCAAATCAAACATACTAAGAAAACGATACAAAGAAATAGTTGCAAAAAAGACTTAGTACTGGTTATGTTGTGGCTTTAAAGCTGATTTCTTTTGTTCCCTGCTAAAATAAAGTTTGTGAATTCAGTTAAATCATTGTTAAAATATATCTGTCATTTGTGTGTTTTTAGCTTTCTTCCTGTATGGGAAGCTTTTCAAAATTTTAAACATTAGTGCAGTGGTTTATGTTAAAATAAACCTTTGGGTTAAGCTGTCGCAAGCAGGTTTTTCTTGTGTTTCTTGTGAATTTGGTCTTAAATATTTGGACCAATTGACCCAGATCAGTGCAACACACGTATACCAGGTTACCGCAGGGTTTTGTTTTTAACAACTGGTAAAAAAAAGTGAAAACATGTAACCAAACAAAAAACACTGAGATGCTAACCCAGGGCAGTTTGTTCAAAAACTTTATTAATAAGGCAACAAAACACAAATATCAGTACCATGTACAATAAAAGTGCCTTTAAATCTGATATGATTTTATGAACACCAGGTTATTGCTTTGGCCGCCATCAGAGCGAGCTCCAAACTGATTCTATGATCAATAATTTCTGATATGTTGGTTATTTTAAGCAGAGAATAATCTTGAAGAGTTCCTACGTCCTCACCAACAGGGAGCCAGTTGGCTTTGATGAATGCTGAAGTTTTTCCTTCAGCTGAAGATAAAACAAGTTTGTCTTTAAGTGTCAGTTGAGTGTTGATTAGCCAGAGACGGACAGATTATTCAGCTGAAAGTCACATTTTTATGTCACTTTGGTTAAATCGGCTTCAGACTGAATTCCGTTCATTTTAGGCTGCAGAGGGAAATATGGCCACCAGAGGTTTCCATCACAGAGCTAACGAACCTCAGAGACCGAAGGATATCGTTTATGATATTTGGGGTGTGAATATATTTGCTGAATGGGTTTGATTTATTTTTAAGAACCACACATGGATGGAATTTGGGCCCAAAAAAGGAAAAATGTCATAATAACCAAACATGTGAAGATTTTCTTTAAGCTAAAGGCCACATTTTGAACTTTCCTATCTATTCACCTTCTGGAAAAAGAATCCTGAAAATAAACAGAATCTTTTCTTGTTGACCACTCGATGTCAGCAGCTGTTTCATTCTGGGTCTCTCATTTCTGACGATGGTTTTCCTCCATGAGGAACCTGTTGGTTCCTTAATGAGAGGAAGCTGTAAATCCTGCATTAGGTGAGATAAATCCGTCCTTCAGAGCCCGTCCCGCTGGCCTGGATTTTCCTGCTCTGACCTGCGATGGTTCATGGACTGGAGCAGGAGGAGCAGAGTCTGAGGATTAATTGATCTTTAAATGTTTCAAGAGGACTTTCGGTGTGTTTCAGTCACACATTGCCACTAAATACTTCCAATGACATCAGAGGCCATCAAGAGGTAAAGTTCCTTCCTGGGTTCAGAAAAAACGCCTGAGAAGTTCTCTATAAATATGGATCCCAACTTTTTCTCGGCTCCTCAAAGCAACAGGAAACCAGACAGATCTTTGGGATCAAATATGATGGAAAATATTGTCAATAAATCCTCTCATTTAATAATTATTGTATAAAAAGTCATAAATCTTGGTGGGTAAAAGTGCTCAAAGATCCTCCCTTCCAAAATAAATAAAAACCAACCTAAATATTATTACTCTCTGAAGGAACTGAAGTTAATGTTTCATGGAATCCATCAGGGAGACACTTCAGTCCTAAAAAAAATCAGCCGCTTCCGATCTGAAAATCCCCAGATCTTCCCAGGAGAACCTTTGAGGAAAAGGACGGGTGGAAGAGTTGGATCAGAATCGCCGTGGATGTGGGTCAGCGTGAGGTTCTGTGGGTTTGGATCGCATTGATGGGTAGATTTTAGACGTCCACCGGGAATCCTGCCATTCGCTTAATCGGCCGTTACATCGTGATCTCTGGTCTTCAGTTCTGGATGGCGGACTCTCGGCCGTTCACGATTATCTCCAGAACCGGCGTCAGGTCCATCAGGTTCTTCAGCATTTCCATGATGTCCGGATGCTCCTTGGCTCCGTCGATAAACTCTTCCAGCGTCATCTCACCTGGAAAGAGGTCAAAGGTCAACATGAGGTGGGAAACCAGGCCAGGTTCTGGTTCTGGACTGGATGCTCTCCTTACCTTCACCCTTCACATCAATCCGCTCAAAGATGAGCGTGACGATCTCCTCCGGGTCGATGTCCCTGTTCCGTGTGATGTCCTGGATGGCCTGTAAGGAGAGACAGACGCACAATATCGCTGTCAGCACGACAGAACCGAGTGACCATCTGATTGGTTCTGGTCATTTGGATCCTTTGTTTGCTTCTCTGGGCAGATTGATGATTATGAGAATTAAATAAATTTTTCAACTAATTATATTTGAATCTGTTCCTGTTCTGATCCGGTTCTGATGATCAGACCAAATGAACCAAGGGGCCTCCTGTTGGCATAGATAAGGGTCAGTCCTTATCCGGGCTGAGGAACCAGAACCCGGCTTCATCATTGACCCATTTGTCACAAACCGATCCGTCCCGGGTGCACGATCCGTTCTGCGCATGTGCCATTGTGCTGATGGCGCATGCGCATCCAGATATACATCCGGGTCGCCCTCTATTTTATTTAGTTAAAAAAACCTTAATGACATTTTTCCCTCCCCACAAATAGTAAATGTGCTACAATATAATGTGTTATAGGTTAATAATGTATTTTCTGAGAAAATAGATGCCTTAAATCCTTTGTTTTATCACTCGTCTCTGCCTGATCTGTACCAGAAATGGGATTCTACGCTACTTCCGGGAGCTAACTTTTTAGGCTTTGGATTTAAACATAAATCTAGTCTTTTTGAGTTTGTTTTTGTTTCATTTTAACATTGTGGTATATAGTGCATAATCTAAAGAAAACAATAACTAAAATGCAGTTAAACATGTTTTAATCATATTTTGCCGGACTGCTCTGAGCATGTCTGATGATGACGTCAGAGAAGCAGTTTGACAAAGAAAATGTAAAAAGCATCAAAAATGTCTCACAAGACATTTTTAAAGATGTGTAGTAGCATTGTTTAGTGAGTTAAGCAGAGTTAAGGATGTATATCTGTTCGTGCATAAGCCGGACGGATCATGCTTCCAGAACGGATCGAGTAGTGACACCGTTTACTGTTTGGTTTCAGAAAGTAGAAACAGAAACACCCAAAAATGAGGGGAGGCGAATTTTAAAAAGAAACTGCAGGAACTCGGTCCGGTTTGTTTAGAACCTTAACTGTCGGGATCAGAACCAAATTTAAAGGAAATCTTCAGAGAAAACAAAATCAGATTAATTTTCTATCAAACGCGAGACAGAACCAGGAAGAATTCTGGGTGGTTCTGGTGGGTCATGTGAGCTCTAAGTACAGAGAGTTCAGTCAGCAGATTAACACTCGGCTAATTTCAGAGTTAATCCGTCTCTGTTGGCTGCTGCCTCAGGTCCCAGTTAAACCTCCTTCGTCTTCATCAGGCTCCTGTTATGAGCTGGATTCAGCAGCGATGAAGATCACAGAAGGTCGAATGCTTAACTTTGTTCATGAGGAAACTTGAAGCGTTTCTTTTTTCATTAATCCCAGTGATTCTGGTTTCTTTGGGCTGAGAAGAAGATAAGGAGCAGAAACCAAATTCCTCAAGTTTCTACCTGAAATTTAGTGGATTTAAAACAATATTTTGGGAAGAAGAAACTTCAAAGACTTTTAATCTGAGTCAAATCTAGCCAGAATTTTATTTTAAATGTTTTAGATTAAAACTAAAAGTTAGAAAAAAAAAATATTTTTCCTTCTTTTCGATTCAGAACTTTTCATTCTTCCCATCTTCAAACTTTCAGACTCGTTTTGCTTGTTTTGTGTTTCTGTCTAGAACCCTTACGCTTTTTGCTCCTGTCAGAACCTTCCTGCTTAAAGGCTGATTTATACTCAGAAACCAGGTCGTCTGCGTGTGTCGCAGTGAACGCAGAGACGCCCCTCTGATGCATCTGTCCAGAATTGTAGGTGACTGCAGATAGGAGGCCTCTGATTGGTCAAATCTACATCCGCTCTACATTACGCATATTTCCTTTTTGGTACCTTAGCAGCTTGTTTTGTTTGTATGACCGCCATTGTGGCAAACGACTCCTGAAGATGCACCAGCTAGAAGAGTGAGGTGCGTGAGAACACTGAGACCCTTTTTCTACCTGGATCCCCGCTCTTTTTTGCCCTCATGTCACTCCATTATCGCACAAACTTGCCCCCACTTCCTCACCGCCTTAGCCGTATCTACACACACAGCTAGTTCCTGATTGTCCCTCTTGCGTTGTGGCGTAGAATAACATAGTGCAGACCACGCTTCAAAATTGAGCCTAAAGGCCAATTTATGCTTCTGATGCATAGCCTCTGCAACCGTCAAATCTGTATCTGTGACAACACCCCCCGAGCAGAGGTTCTTCAACCATCGTTGCGCACCTCAAAAAATCCTGACTACGCGTCGGACAGTTGCAAACCTGCGCAGACCTCAAGCGGAAGTGAGCAGACGAAAAAGAAGCTGTGATTGGTCCTTGGTATGCCCTTCTGGCTGTCTGTGTGGTCGACCTTCTCGATTCAGTGCTTGACGCGCCATTTTTAAAAACCGAGGAACAACTATGATTGACAACAACAACGAAAGGTTAGTCTGTCTTTTTGCCAACTTCATTAACAGAACCAGTTCCCCTTCAATGTCTAGCAGTGTCGCAGGCGCCGCCGAAGTTCTCGTGACCATCTGCCGAAGACCTTGCAAGTTCTTGAATAGGCTCCCACTTGCGCTTTGGCGGGAAACTGATGCGCATCCCTAGAAATTCCAGACCGATGGTGCAGAAGCATACCAGCAAAACTGGTTAATGACCAGACCCAAGCAACATTTGATGTCTGCGGATGCAGTAGTCTAATCTGCCCTCAAAAATGTCTGTGACAAGCTCACTGCAACACCGCTGCGGGAGGATAAACAGCCCTTAAGGATTGTAGCTTTGCTCCACTGGTTTCCTCTGGGACTGGGATGGACTCTCTAGAACTTGACCCAGTTGCCCCCAAACCTCTATGAACTAATCTGCTGGTTTGTTGAGACACGCCGTCTAGATGTAAAATGCTAAAGCATGGACATAACAACACCCCTATTTATGCCAAACCTTTCATTTCTTGGCTGGTGTCTTCATTTGAGATAACATTTACTTTGTGTGGTACAGCAAATCTGCCCACAGCATTATGCTGCCTCTCCTGTACTTCCCAGCTGGGATGGTGCCGTCAGACTTATTTCTTCTTTCTTCTGAATGTAAAAAAGAACTGGGGCCTGCGGCTTTTAGGAGGTTTGAGGCGCTATTTTAACAAACTCCCCCACCTGTGGCTCCATCAGAAGCTTGCTAACCGTTCTTCATCAAGACTTTCTTAAAGAGCTTAAAGCTACAGTGACCTCTGTGTATGTAAATTCTGGCTCTGAAGAAAGTAATAAAGCTGATCTTTAAAGATGTATCCCTCATTATTCAGCCTTTTAGTTAGAAATCATCCAAACTGAGCTTAAATGTTGATTTTAGTTTTTATTCTAGGTGAACTAGTCCTAAATCTGAAACGGACCAGCAGTAATTTAGGTCCAGAGTTAATCTGTACAAAATAAATTCTGCTCTAACAAATAGATTAGGAGTAATCTGGTGTCCAGGTCTGTAAAGTGGATTTAAAGCCTTCTAGGCTGAGAAGCTCAGACGGTTTTAGATTTGCAGTTTTTGGAGCTCCTAAACAAAGAACAAGCAGCTTAAAGACAAACGGAGCGATTCAGAATTGGCCCTGCTGGGTCCCCTGAGGGTCCGGGTCAGAAACCAACTCAACCATTTAACTGTTTACAGCTGAAAAATCCTCCTGAAAGCCCACCTCATGCCATCTGTTAATTGCTTCCTTCATGTTTAGGTTTTCTTCACTCAGGCCGCATTTATCACCTTCTGTCAGTAGGGGGCAGAGTTTAGCATGATTTAATCTAACTCTCCTCAGCTGTACCTGTATGTAAAAAAGCTTCATTCATAACTATTTCAGGATTGCTTTCATTAAGCCTGATTTTTTACTGATGGATTATTCGGGTGACCTGTTACGGAGGCCTGCAGGACCAAAAACTGAGTAGATGGAATTAAAAATGTTCTGGTGATGCAGTGAAAACCAGGTTGTTAATTTATCTCAGATAAAACAACTAAGCTCCTTATGGCCTCAGTCATAATGTGACCCAATGGTTTGCCAATAAAGCAGATGATATGGTGATATAAATAACTCACTGTGAAGATGGTTTCCAGCTCATCCTTGTCTATCTTCCCATTGCCGTCCTGGTCGAACAGTTTGAAGTACCACTTCAGCTTCTGGTTGATTTCTCCTTTTAGCAGCAGGCTGATGGCAGCAATGTACTCCACAAAGTCAATATAGCCATCCTGCAGACAGAGCAGGGTGTAAAAACCCACACCAGGTTCTGAGTCTGTTTAAAGCTTCACTGCCTGGTACTGATTCAGGACCCAAAGAAAATAGAATAGATTAAGTCTTAAATACAGCATTTGTTAATTAAATTCAGTTCATTTATATAGCGCCAATTTACAGCACACGTCATCTCAAGGCACTTTACAGTTCACCAGATCATTCAGTCAAATTGATTCAAAGGTTTATATCTAAGGATAACTAGTTGATTGTAACGACTCATTGACTCGAAAGCAATCCCTCACACTGAGCATGCTTCTTGCGACAGTGGAGAGGAAAAACTCCCTTTTAACAGGAGTAGTTTTAATAGGAATAGAAATAGTTAGAATATCTTAATTTAATACAAGGAGAATAAATTAACTGATCAAGACTTTTATACCTTAAAGAAACTTTAAACATCAAGATGGTGAACGACTAATAAATCACCTCACATAATAAAATAGGATTACAAATCAAGTTAAGATCAAAGGAATAGACAAAAATAAATAAAGAAAAATAAGTGATCATCATTATCTCAGTAGAGATTCCCAGACTTCCCTCTCCCCAGAAATCTCCTCCAGCCCTGCTGGGGGAAGCCGAATTGGCTCCATTGCCAGGTGAGAGACAGTCCCTCCATCCTGGCCATCTTTTTCCCTCACTCATGAACAAGACCCCAAGATACTTGAAGTTCTCCACTTGAGGCAGGAACTCTCCATGACCTGAAAAATGCAAGGTGGAGCTGATTCTCATCTTGGCTGCTTTGTTGTTGACCCATAGTCTTTCTCCATTGTCCCTCTAAACTCCTCCAAGGCCTGTCTTTGCTGCGGCAATCACTGTTCACACTGCAATCATGCTTACTGCCTCACGAGTCCAACAAACCAACTAGGCTCATTAAGACTCCATCTTTAACTTGATGACATCCCTCACTGCTGTTGTCCCCCACTGGGTTCAGGGTCACCGTAATGACAGACACTTGAAACCTGTACAGAAACAGCTTCAGGCAGACCCATAAACTATAGTGAAGGTATCACTCCACCTTCTGCTCAAGCTCAGACTCTTTCACCCAGTGAGGAGAGATCTGACATCCCCAGAGCCATTTTAATTGTCCATGGATCAGATTTGACTGCTGCCCAATCTTAACTGTGCCCCATAGTTCCCCCTGCAGGTAGTGGGCCTCCTTAGGGATGCATTTGCATCACTCTTTATGGCCTGGCCAGGCCATGTCCTGCAAGGAGGAACCTCACCGCCAGGGCACTTCCAACCAAGCCTGGGTCTAGGGTGAGGTTCAAGCTTTGTTGTACATGGTGTTGTCACTTGCCTCGATCTCTTTGGCTTTTTGAAACTCCTCTTTGTCTGACCCAACACCCAGGGCCTGGGGGACCCTACCAAAGGCATTTGAACCCCCAACAACTTTCTCTAGGGCAGTGGATTCAGACTCAGATCCTCAATGGTCTATGTCCTGCATCGTTTGTGTCTCTGGTTCAACACACCTGAAAATATGAACTAATTAGTAGAGCTTGATCGTTGCTTCTGCAGCAATTAAGCTATCTGATTCAAATCTTTAGAGCAAGGGATCCATCTTAATGTAGTAGGACACTGGCCCTCAAAGTTTGAGTTAGAGACCCCAGCTCTAGGGTCATCTAAGCCCTGAACCCCTCCTTCACATTAAGGTTGTGGCTGAAGTTTGAAAACGACAGAAAAAAATCTGAATAAAACCGAGAAACAGTCATATTCCTATAAAAAGAACTTTTTTCTTTAATAAAAGTGAAGAAATGTAGAATATGTTACTATTCTACATTGACAGTAAATGATGAGCAGAACCAAACTGGAGTAGAGAGTTATTAAAATCCTGAAACCAAGTAGCAGCTTTAGGGGACAGCTGAGACCTCCAAGGCCTCAATCAGCATCAAGAACAGGCATTCATCAGTAGTTGATTCCAAAGAGCCCAGTTACTACCCGGAAACGGAGGAATTTGGTGGAAACGGCCCACTCTTTACAAAGAGGTAAAGACAATCATGAGCTCAGTAAAAGAGTCAGTATGCCGGTTCCTATGTTAAGAATCCCTTCTTTTACTTCCTTCCCAAACCCAGTTCTGGTCCCTGTGACGTTGCACTGGACTCCTGCAAAGGATATGGCATACTGTTTGGATTGGAGACAGTACATTTCTAAAGGTCCTGGTCATTGAAATTAGGTGAAACTGACCAGTCGGGTTCACCCATAGCTGAGCCTCATCACCAGCCTGTCCGTTTCTTTTCAGAACCAAACATAGCAGCTGTTGGGTTCAGTTAACTGAACTTTGAACAAGTCACCGAAGCACAGACAGAAGGTTCCACATCTTAGTGCTTGATTAAAACCAGAAAGGAAGAACAATGCCATCCATCCATCCATCCATCCATCCATCCATCCATCCATCCATCCATCCATCCATCCATCCATCCATCCATCCATCCATCCATCCATCCATCCATCCATCCATCCATCCATCATTAATCCTTCCCTCGTCATTCATCCAACAATCTTCCATCAGCATCCATCCATCATCCATCCATCTAACCATCATCATGCTTGTCATTTCCAACACTTCACCACCAGCTCTGTCTAAAAGGGTTCCTTGATGGTTTTGCCCACACTAATGAGCTGCAGAACCGGGTCAGAGCCGTGTTAGAGGCAGTTTAGGGTACCACCATGCTGGTCATGTAGAGCGGGTAGACACTGCTGTTCAGTCAGAATAATAAAAAAATGGAGGAGAGGAGCCTGTTTTCTTTCTTTCTCAGACATTGAGCCCTGAGGAACCTCCCAGGAGTCGTAACCAGATACATTCAGACCCCCTATGTCTCTGTGCTGAGGTTGTGTGTTTCTGTGGTACCCACCCCATCCATGTCAAAGGTGAAGAAGACCTGTTCCACGTAGCTGTTGGCGTTCTCTGTGATACCCTTTAAGTTGAGGATGGCCTTCAACTCAAACAGCGTGATGAGGCCCGATGGAGACTCTTTCATGAACTTGTTGTACCAGTGGTGCATGTCCTCAGCCAGGATGTCATCCATGTTGGAGCCGTGGTTCCCCATGGCAGCAGGAGGACGGGGTCTCAGCAACAGGATGGAGGCTGCAGGCCTCCTCTCAGTCTGATGAGGAACGTCTGCAGGCTGAGGTTTGCAATCCTGATGGGACAAAGATCTTGGAAAAATCAGCAGAACCTCGGAGCTGAACCCGAACTGCTGTGTCTGCAGGCGCTGACTAAAAGTCAGACTCTCTAACCCTCTTAGGTTCTGAAACAGGAATCAGCAAAGCACCTAAAATAACTCCTTAATGAGATGAGCCGCCGTGGTGACAGAGGCCGTGCCAGGACCTGCTGAGTTCCTCTGAGCAGAAGATCTGGCCCTGAATACAGGTTTGTTATATCATCAGCTGACCCGTTTCAGACCGAAGAGTTCCCCAGATCCGAGCTAAAACTCTCCTGCAGCCTTTATGGCAATTCCTAATTTTAGATTTCTTGGAAACGTCCTGGAACTGTTTGGACTCCAGGTAAATTAGAGATCCATCAGATATTAAACACAGGCTAAAAATGTTCTGGTTCTGAACAGTTTCTCTAACATAATGACTTTTACCTCCTAATTCTTTCCAGAACCCTCAGCCAGGTGCTGGGGACCCTATCGGTCTGAAATATCCTTCCCTGTCCTAATTTTAGGCATTCTAAAAGGAAGAGAGAAACCAACAGGAGCATGAAGATAAAAAAATTAAAACACAATTCACAACCAGTGACTGGTTCATAGATTCAGAACTTCAGAGGGGATACTTTAAAGCTGTTACTCATCAAAAGAACGAAAAAACAAAGAAGTTTTGATCTGAGCAGGAAAGCGAAAAAATACAGGATGTTTATGCATAAAAACAACAATGAACTATGTCAAAGAATGAAAAAAGATGCTGAAACCAGATGTCTTAATTCACAGCACTAAAATAGATCAGAGGTATTGCTCATATCGATTCATGTTTGCAGACATAGAAGCAGCCGAGTTTCATCTGCTGCTCAATGGAGCCGTGATCATCGTCAATAAAGGACCAGTAATAGGCTTAACCCAGGTAAACCATTTAAACTCATAAAGCTTCACTAAAACACAGATAAACCTGCCAGACTGGTGGGAGGTTAAAGTAAGTACACCATCCCCCACCCACCCCGGGTCCGTTAGCTGACAGAACAGCTGGAAGATCGGTTCTTCTTGGAGGATTTTTTTGAGGATCTTTGGCTGAAGTGGGGAATTGTACAAAGAACGTCAACCAGAGCTTGACAGGCACCATGGCATCATGTTGGGTGACTCCCCTACCGGTAGGATCCTCATCAGTGTAAAACGAACTGCATCCGGCTGAAGGGTGTTTCCTCTGTACAGATCCAACCAAAGCTGAGATGTTTGACCGAAATGATGGAACCATGTTAGGACACAACAAAAAACAGCAAATCAGTTTGAACACTTTCATAGTTAAGCACAGGGGTGAAGGGATGAAAATCTGGGCCTGATGTAGACCCACCTGGAGTCAAACAGGTGGGTCTACATCAGGCCCAGATCAGTTGGCCTCGGCAGATGGCCGCTCATACTGAGTCAGGTTCTGCTGGAGGTTTCTTCCTGTTAATAAGGAGTTTTGCCTCTCCACTGTCACCCCAAGCATGCTTGGTGTAAGGGATTGCCTTTGAGTCAATGAGTTGATGCAATCAACTGGTTTTCCTTATATAGAAAACTTTGAATCAATTTGACTGTATGATCTGGTTGAATGGTAAAGTGCCTTGAGATGACGTGTGTTGTGAATTGGCGCTATGTAAATAAACTGGATTGAAATGAACCATGAAGTCCTCTGAAAACCACAGGGTTCTGCAACAGTTGATCGATGGAGACTCGATGGAGACGTATGGCAGCACATGCTTAAGCGTTGGCCATAAGTTACAGGTAAGGTATTTGTTCGTTGACATATTTTAAGTGTAAGTTACTCATAAGTCGTGGTGTCCAGCTTATCCAAAACCTATGAGTAACTTGTGTGTAACTTATCAAGAACTTATGTCCAACACATAACAACGTATTTGACATGTTCCGGTCGACCACTGAATGTGTTTTTAACATACAGCTACTGTTTAATGGCGTATTGGCAGTGTTTTGGTATAAAAGGGGGTTCACATGAGGAACCTGTCAGTTCTCCTAAAGACTTCATCCCCATCATATGGTGAGCGAGAAGGTGAGTGTGATGGATCCTCTCTGCATTTACGCCCACGGCCATGACCAACAAATGTCTTAGCAGACGTGATGCTGAATCTGCTGCGACTGCAAAACTCCTTTCTTTTTTGGCGGGCTGTAAATACTAACTCGGTTAATACCGTGATCAAAGAATCTTTTTATGTAGGCTCCAGACGCATCACTGTCCCACTCAGGACACTGGCTTATGCATCATTTGATTGGCATTAGGCTGCCATGCGTTATGCATTAGTTAGGCTGTCGTTGGACACATGCTCAGGGCTCTTTATTAATACACTATATACACCTAAAATTGAAAAAAATACATAATAACTTCAGTATGGAAGGGTTTAAGGAAATTCTGGGATGTCAGGCATATGCTGGCTAAATTGACAGGGAGTGACAGGGCCCTAAAGTTAAGGAAGAAATTCAGAAATTTCAGAATGTAAAGTTCCGAATGGAGGTTCATTAACATGTTTCTGCTTGAGGATTTTCTAACAGTCAGACTTTTGATTCATTTCCCTCCATGGCAGCTCTTTGGCTTTGTTATTACACTAAATGTGGATGTTTGAGTCTGAATCAATAGATTTCAATAGATCAATTGATCACCGTTAACATTTTGATGTTTATTTCTGAGAGATGAAGAGTGGATGATGGCATGGTCAAATACAGTCGCAGTGTGTGAGAACCTGTCTAGCCCTCAGAGTGAGGACAATTTTTCCAATTTTACCATCAAATTGAGGACCAGTTGTTGCAAAGTGAGGAAATTTTGCCGGTCCTCACATGCTATTTTGCTAATGGTTAGATTTAGGGCTAAGGTGTAAATTGGTCAGGGTTAGGGTGAGGTATGCATTGGTAATGGTTAGGTTTAGGGTTAGTATTAGGGTTAGGGCATAGAAATGGTTGAAAATGACTGAAAATCAATGGAAGTCAATGGGAGTCAATGAATGGTCCTCACTATGAAGGCAGAACGAGTATATGTGTGTGTGTGTGTGTGTGTGTGAGTGAATTAAAAGGAGATTTTGAAGAATTTTGTCATGTTGGTTATTGGTAAGCTCATATTAATATTTACATAATATGATGTATCTTTTTGTAATTTTTAATAACTGACTTTTTTCAGATCAAGTTATTTTTCTTTTTATATTCTTTTTATTTGTTTTTATTTTACTGTTACTTCTGTAACAGTGCAACCAACTCATTTCCAGCTCCAGTTATTTACCTCCCACTGCCTGGCTTTAATGGTCCTTTCACTTTTTCTGCTCAGCTCTGCAAACTGGCCTCTGATTGGCCGGTTCTTGCAGCGGCGTGTAGTGTGGCGTCCAGGTGTGTCCTGTTAGCTCTGACCTTTTCGCATCTCATCAGCAAAGGTCCATCCAGGGAGGTGTTGCAAGTCTATCTGAGATTTTCTGGCAGAGAAGCTTGACTTTCCACTCCTCCTGCTGATGCGTTTTATTTCGGGCTGCAGTGATGTGCCTCAATCTGAGGATCAAACAGCTTACAGGAATCAGATTTAAGCTCTGGGAGCGGCAGCCAGAACTTCTCCATCCAAATCCTCCTTTTCCAAGAAGGAGTCCCCAGCAGATTACCGCCACCGCAGCCTAGTGGAGAAGTGCCAGCTATGGGAAATCCTCTGGTTGTCGCTGAGCATGCTCAGTGCAGGAGCGAAGGGATGATTTATTTTTAGCTCAGAGGTTAAAAAGACTGATTTCTGGTTCAGGTTGTTTTGTGGTTATTTTTTTCCTTAGACTTTGGTTTGCATTGAGTCTTTCTACAATGCAACACTCCTGATTTAAATAACCACACCATTTAAACCAACAAATAAACAAATAACCCATTGAAAGTGTCATATATTCAGGCTCTCTGTCTCCAGCTGCCCATCTTTAAACCATAACTGGTTCCCGTTAAAAAAGATACCAACGATAAAAAAATTTTAAAAAGGATTTTAGCGCTCTGAGAATCAAAGACTGGAATCAGAGGAAGCATTTTCACTTGAATTTTACACACTTTAAAAGATTACTTTTCAGTGTTGTTTTATTTACAAATTTAATAAAAATTAGAATCAGAGCAGATTGGAAGAAGGCAGCGTAGAAAATGACAGCAGCACCTGTGGAAGGTTGGATTTAACGGGTCGACAGAGGAGGTCCTGTGCTGGTTCTTTCTTCAGAACCATGTCCATTAATACTCAGGACCTGGAACTTCCGTTGACCCCTGAGAAGGAAGTGTTGACAGAAATGTCCCCGAAACTATTCAGTTAGAAAGTGGAGAAAACAAACATTCATGCATTTAGTCTTAATCGTCTCTGCTATTTTTTTTCCTCCTTCTGCTTTTACTGAATTATTATCAGTCTAACTAGTTTTGTCATACTGAAGATATCCGGTTAACATTCTAGTTACATTTAGTAGTTGGTTCTTTTTAAAGCCAGTAACTGGGTTCCTCCTGGTATAACATTAACCTAACATCCACCTCATTTTGGGAAATTCTTGCCTATCTTGCATACCCAAATGGAAAAGCAAATAACTGAAGTGTGACACGTTATTTGAAAGCTAACGCCTTCTAGTTTCTGAATATATAGCCTACATGAAAATTTGTTGAGCAAAGCACAGTCCAAGCTGCATCACTTCAAACATGACTCAAACTTGTTTTCTTTTATTTTTGAAAAAATAGGTATTTTTTTAACAGCAGTAATAAAAACATGCTCACTTGTTGTGGCTGCTTTGTTTGTTTACATTTTGACATGCTGCTATATCTGTGTGTTAATTGCATCCATAAAATGAACTTGGTGGTTGAATTGTGGAGAATCTAAGCTTTCCAACAATGATTAACATGTCTATATTGGTAAGCATTTTACCAGTGTAATTTTCATGCATTCTGAGTTATTTGTTGTTTTGAGAGGTTAATATAGATATTCATGTTGAAGTATTTAACTCATTTAATCAGCTGATGGAATGAACTAAGACATGTGCATTTATCCAGGTGATTTCCTCTCCATCCTCATTTCTCAGTTTGTGGCTTCTTCTGTTCTTCATAGCTTCTCTGTTACTGACTCCTTTGTTTTCTTTGCGATCATCTTTCTTTTATCCAAAACAAGCAAACAAAAGGGCCTTAAGCTGAAAGTCTATGGTACCAAATCGATATTTTATGGTTACCTGCAATTTCTAGCTCTTTTTAGGTCATTAACTCACTGATTTAACCGAACGTCTGATCTGGATGAACCCTTTTTGCCGCTAAAGGAAAGTTTCTTCCTATAAGTTAAACAGAGCATCATTAAGGAGAGTCTGTTCTTGTTTTGCAAATCAAAATTTGGTTGTCCTAATTTACATCAAGTGAGTCCAGTCTGAATTTGATGACTTCATGACATGAATTAAGTCTGGTGTGCCATTGCTGGTTGGAAAGCAAACCTGGAGCCACACGGCCCTTTCTGGAACCAATTTGAGACCCATGAACAAGAAGATCAGCTAAAATTATCTTCTTACATTTTAGTGAGATGTTCTGAAGCAGCCTGACTCTCCGTTCACTGCTCCCCTCCTCACCGTCGCTCTCATCATATCCATCCTCTGTCCATGGTAATCTTTCTGCAGCTTTTCCACATCCGGGGGCTTTTTCACCCCATTTCTTTGTGTCTCTTCCAAATCGCTGAACGAGGAACATGCTCAGTTTTCAGTCTTTCATGGCTCCTGCTGTAAAAGTTTATTTGCCAAATTTTTGTCTCCTCATCAATGATGATTCCCATCTAGGGGTCTTTCTGCTTGGAGTTTTCATGTTCTCCCTGAGCATGTGTGGGTTTTCTCCGGGTACTCCGGCTTCCTCCCACAATCCAGAAACATGACTGTTAGGTTAATTGGCTTCTCTAAATTCTACTTACAGGTGTGAGTGTGAACGGTTGTTTGTCTCTGTGTTGCCCTGCGATGGACAGGCGACCTGTCATGGGTGAACCCCGCCTCTCATCCATAGACAGCTGGATATAGGCACTAACGACCCCGCTTGGGATACTGTAGGTGTGATGGGAAATGGATGGATAGTCTGTTTGAGGTTAGCTTAGCTTAGCCTACTTTGGCTTAATTTATTTTCATTTTGGGCTCAGTGGACAAGCCTATTTTAGTTTGCACTGATCTCACTCCACCAAATGGAAAAATCCACAAGAAAAACATCCTTTCCAAATAAATAAGTGGAGACAGACTAGAGTTTTATGAACCTTTGTTAATAAATCTAGGTACATCTTTATACATCTATGTAAAAAAAAAAGTCTAAATTTGTTATAGTTCTTCGTAATTTACACCTTGAATGGTTTTAGCAGCTTTTCTTTATCTCTGATTGCAGGGGAGACTGCAGACTCATACTTTTCCTTCCTCTCCGCAAAAAACAAAAACTTCTTTAGTCTTATTCAATGTATTGATATGAATAATGTATTCAAGACAGTAATTTTGTTGTTTGTTTGTGTTAGTTTGGACCTTCCACCTGTATCCCTACGTTACCTACCGTAAATTAAGTTGAAAAAAAAAGAGTGAACAAGTCAAGAAAAAAAGGTAAAAAGCTAATTGAAAAGTTAAAAAGTAAAGTAAAAAAGTTAATAAGCCTAGGTAACAATCATATTTAGGTTCATAAACTAAAAAATGTCAGTGCCAGTATCAGTATTAATGTATTTAAGGTTATGTTGTACCAAAAAAAAAGTGCTTCTTGATTTTAGAGCAGGCATCCCCAAAGTCGGTCCTCGAGGGTCGCTGTTCTGCAGCTTTAAGAGGTTTCCCTGCTCCAGCACAGCTGATTTACATTTCATTTTTTCATTTTCATTTTATTTATTTTGAAACAGAATATGATTTAACAATGTTTACATTGAATGCTTCAAAAACATGCATCATGTTTCATAAAGGAGTAGGATGAAGCGTAAGCTTATTAGGCGTTACCCCTTAGTTACATGTGTCATGGTGGTAAAGGACAATTGTTTACAGTAAGACAAACAGTATACCAACTTTTTATATATTACTCTTTTTTGTATTAATCAAAAATACTTTTCTTATATTATTTTTTGAACTGCTGGATGATTTACATTGTTTAATGTTTTCAGGCAAGCCGTTGCAGAGCTTCACTCCGCTAATTGATAAACTAAAGCTTCTTTTTGTTGTTCGAACATACTTTCCTCTTAAAATACATTTTCCATCTCTATCAGAAAACAATTGTTGTATGTGCGCAGGTTATTTCTTGCTTTGTAAAGAATTTGAGCAGTTCTGAAATTGATCAAATCTACAAATTTGAGAATTCTTGAATCAAGGAATAAACAGTGAGTGTGATCTCCATAATGCTTGTTATTCGTTACTCGTATTGCTTTGTTTTGCATGATATTCAATGGTTGAATGTTTTGTTAGTGTGACCCCACACTTCAACACAATAGGTTAAATAAGGCTGAAACAATGAGCAGTATAATGTGTGTAATAGATGATTAACAGGCTTTTGCTGAACTGCGATCATCAGAATCAGCTGTGCTAAAGCAGAAAAACCTCTCAAACCTGCAGGACAGCGGCCCTCTAGGACCGACTTTGGGAATGCCTGCTTTAGAGGGTTTATCATGAATTTCTTTTAGAAGCACTTTTGTTATTTTTATTAATATATTCGGGCAAGTTGGCATTTGTTGTTATTACATCGACATTCATTTTTGCCATCAAAATATCCATGTTTTTTGAATGTCACTAAGTCCATAAATTATTTTTTTGGATTCAATAACACTATTGGCTTGACATTTTGAGTGTGCTATAAAGCAGCCATCCCCAAACTCGGTCCTCAAGGCCCCCTGTCCTGCAGGTTTTAGAGGTTTCTCTGCTTCAGCACAGCTGGTTATAATGATTGCAGTAGACATAAAGCCTGTTAATCAGCTTTCAATTAAAATCAGCTGTGCTGGAGCAAGGAGACCTCTAAAACCTGCAGGACAGGGGGCCTTGAGGACCGAGTTTGGGGATGCCTGCAATAAAGGGTTAATGTTGCTTTTTCACATTGAATCATTTTTCTCTGGATCTGTGCATCCAGCAGCAGAATCAGTAGGAACTAGAAAAGTATGATGAAGTCCTTGTGAATGAGGGGTTAGTTTACCCCACAGCTGGCTCTGAGGAAATGGTCCACTATGTTAGCCTATTTAGCAGAGGTTAGTTCAGCTTGTTAGACATTATTACTATGGTAACCCACCACAGTATTTTGGGCATTTAGATCAACAAAAGCTCCAGGTTGTATTTGTAAAAAGTAATTTTATTCAATATTTCAGAAAAAAAATGCCTAGAATATGCTTTCACAGCTCTGAACACCGATAAAGTCTCTGATTGTTATAAATCATAGGCACCAACCAGCAGGAAGACATTACAAAAAGACAGATTTCACACGCTCTTCTTACAAAAGGATCAAATGCAGCGCCGCGGTGTGGAAAAGCTTAGGTTAGGAAAAACACATCAGCTGCTTCTGAGGCTTCGTTCAAAGCTGAACTTCAGGAAATGTTTCCTGTCTGAGTCTCTGCTCTCCGGCGTCGGCAGCCATCTTCCTTCAGCAGGCTTCTCCCTCTCTGCACCCCAAGGGCTCAAAGTCACGGTGACCTCGCTCTGACTTGGCCAAAAGTCTGATTCCTCATCGGGACGAACTCTGTTGGAGAAACAGTGGATGAACTAATATCATTCAGATTATTGGACTAATACCACCATCTTAGATTCTCTGACTAAAGGAGATTCCAGTAAATCATCTCAGGCGGTGATCAACGTCGCTGCAGACATGAACTAACCATCCACTGTGGACCAGCCAGGGTCTGAGGCCTAGTGGGGGGGTCGTTTATTCTGCTAAATGCTGCATATATGAGGTTTACTTTTCTGAAGTGATGCAGTTCAGTCTGAAATGAAGGTTCTGAACCAGTAAAACTTTTATTTGAACAGAACCATTTTATATCATCACAGTTTCAGTTTATTTTTCTCTTTTCAATTATTGCTGTGATGTAGATATGAGCGTTTTTAGGCCAGGAGAAGGTCAGAAGAAACAGCTTTTGTTTGAAGTCAGGGATAAGAGATTTAAAGTTTCTAAACAGTCAGCCATGTAGTTAGAGCAGTGCGCTTTGCACTGAGAAGGCTGCAAGTACCCGGTTCGATTGAATGGATTTCTAAAGTCATCGGAAGGAGCCAAATGTTTTTAGCCGCTCTCAGGTCTGAACTGTGAGCCGTTCTTCTCCAGTCTTGCTTCATGTTCAGTTTAAGTTAGAATCACAGAAGAAGAAGACAGACCTCGTTCTCCTCCTCTTCCTCTTTTCTCCTTTTTTCATTGCTGGGGCTTTCCTGTTGTTTCTCTTCCTCCTTCTTCTCCTCCTCTTCCTCCCCCTGCTGTGATGAAGATGGACCTCTCTCCTCCTCCTTCTTCTCCTCCTCTCCCTCCTTCACATCTGTGTTGCTCTTCATCTCTTGAGCTTCTTTTGGCTCCGGTGGTGCCGAAGGTTCTGTTGGACCTTCCTTCTTAAACACCTCTCCACCCTCGTCCTCCTCGCCCCCCTCTTCGGCAGCGGTCTTCTCCTCCCCCCCGTCTCTGGAGCTCAGGTGTGTTTCTGCTGCATCCTGTCCAACACCCATATCGTCACCACTGCTGGACTTGCGGTGACGACGGGATGGAGGACGGCGCCGGATGGAGAGTCGGGCTCTGCCCTGGAGACGGACCAATCAGGGGACAGACACACAGGTGAGGTCACAGATTAGGTCACAGGGATGTCAGAGGAAGCTCCTCAGATTTTTCTCACCTTGTTGATGCTTGGCAAGATGTTTCCTTCTCCGGCAGAGGGAGGGGCTTCAAAGGAGGTGGGAATTTCTGTTGACGGAGAGATGGGGGCGGGGCTTGTGGGCGTCACTATAGAAAGAGGAGGGGCAGAGCCAGGCGAGGGCAGGGTGAAGCCGGGAGGTAGCTTTCTACATGGGCTCTTCAGAGGCACCGCAGTGGGGGAGCCCAGAGTCAGGTTGGCCTGAGCACAAAAAGAGAGTGATGTCACAGTGATGTCAGACTGCAATGCCACCGTTACAGCAACAGGGGGCAGCAGGACTGACCTGGAGCTTCTCGATCAGAGCAGAGTTCCTCTTGACTTTGGAAGGAGACGTGACGCCTGAAGGAGGCTGAAACAAAACAAGATCCAGAAATAAAACCATCTGAGGACTGAGGAGCGTCTCTATGCCGACCATCGACACCAGCGCCATGTTCACAGAAAAGCTGTGATCCTCTCATGGCAGCCATGACGCTTTAAACACAGTTGTTTAAAGCTTTGCTTTTGGTAAATTATCTGGCTTTTTATTAAAATATAATTCTTTCAGAAATTCATTTTCAGGTAAAACTCTAAAAACGAACGTTCATTTAAAATGAGCTGTTTAAACATGGTGGGGATGAATCGAAAGGATGACGCCATCTTTGATTATCGTTTCCAGAAGGCATCAGCCTGATGTTTTACCTGTTTATGAAGTATTGTTGATGGAAGATTTTTAAACAAACAATGGTGACCGATCAATCTACTTTTTTTTTTTTTGTAATAAAATAGGGATGGGGAAGTAGTAACCAGGAGAAAACAAGAGTCTACATCAGCGTAGCTTTTACTAGACAGAGGCCATCGATGAGGGGGCGGGGCTTCAAAGGTTTCAGGCTATCTGTTGGGCCGGTGAGTTGATTTATTATAGCAGTGAGTTTTATTTTGGCAGATTTGTCCTTTTTAGCAAAGAAGGCTAGTTAGCTTTTAGGCCTACACTGGACGAGCTAAGCTGTTAACAGTTATTTTGTCAAGTCTCTGTCACACCTTGACGATTTAGACCAGTGTATATCTGGCAAAAACACTGGCATACGTTGAATAAGTTATGAGCCCGCTGAAGTATGCTGGAACACGTCGACATCCAGGCTCCTGAGGGGAGCAGCTTTAACTGATGCTTCTTAATGCCCATCAAATGGTGCTTGTGCATCATTTGATGGGCATCACACTGCTGTGCGTTATGCATAAGTTAGGCTGTTGAACTGGATAAAAGCAGGGATTGCATTCAAGTCAATGAATCGATGTAATCAACTGGTTTTGCTTAGATAGAAAACTTTGAATCAGTTTGACTGGATGATCTGGTGAACTGTAAAGTGCCTTGAGATGACATGTGATGTGAATTGACGCTATATACATAATTTGAATTGAATTGAAAAATTGAATTGTTGTTGGACATAAGTTCTGTACTCATTATGAATACGCTATGCATACACCCAAAATTGAAAAAAAATAAAAGCAAGTTCAGCGTATGCCAGTGTTTCAGGAGATTCTGGGCATACGCTGGCTAAGTCGGCAAGGTGTGACAGGGCCCTCTCAGATGTCAGCCCAGCTGGAGAATGTGCGCTTCTTTCAAATTTTTTTTGGGTTTCGCTATTTTCTGATTTCAGATAATAAAGTAAAAAATCTGGGTGTTGTTTTTGATCAGGACCTGTCATTTAAATCCCATATCAAAGAAGTTTCTAGAATTTCCTTCTTTCATCTCTGAAATATATCAAAAATTAGAAATATCCTGTCCAGGGGTGATGCTGAGAAACTAGTCCATGCATTTGTTACTTCAAGGCTGGACTATTGTAATTCTTTACTATCAGGAAGTCCACAAACTGTAGTTAAAAGCCTTCAGCTGATCCAAAATGCTGCAGCCAGAGTTCTAATGAAAATTAAAAAGAGAGATCATATCTCTCCTATCCTGGCTTCTCTTCATTGGCTTCCTGTTAAATCAAGAATAGAATTTAAAATCCTCCTTCTCACATATAAAGCCTTAAATGGCCAAGCTCCATCTTATATCAGAGATCTGATTGTTCCTTATGTTCCTAACAGAGCACTTCGCTCTCAATCTGCAGGTTTACTAGTGGTTTCTAGAATTTCTATGGAGAGTGCGCGCAGGAACCAATCCGAGCGCGCAGTGAGACAACACGCGCGCGCGCAAAACCGGTCTAGCGCGCGCTCAACTCTGAAAAACCCTCTCAACACACTGTTCTCGCGCTCAGTTTCATCTCTGCGCGTGCTCGAATCCATCTCTGCTCGCGCTCGCTCGACCTGCTCTCTCTCCGCGCTCAACACCAGGTGTGCGCTCGGCTGTTTCTCCGCTCGCTCGACTCTCTGCGCTCGCAACTTCAGCAATGTATGTAAATGAACCATACCATCAGCCAATCACACCCAGCTTCTTTTCATCCAATGAAAGCATTCCTTCCTTCTTCTTCTTCTTCTTTTCTATCATGGCGGATCGCAAGCAACTTTAAGGTGTATTCCGCCACCTACTGTTCATGAGTGTGTAGCAACATTGTTTTACATCTATTAAATTCTATTTTTTAATTTTGTATTCTGCAGATAACTAAATAATGCTTTCCTTAATCTATAAACATCCTTTATATTTCCTTTATTTCCCAAAAATCCTTTAAGTTTCCATTCTTGGCCTTTCATTTCAACTACTCTTCTCAATTTTTCCCTTTCAGGTTCATATGTTTTACAGTTCATTAATATGTAAGCATTCGTTCCAAATACTACATCCGGTTAAATGAAAAAAATAAAATAAAATAAATAAAAACACAATCAGGAAAATCAAACAACTCTTACAGTTTCCTAACCATTTGATGGACAGAAGATATTACTATAAAATATCTTGAATTATCTCAAATAAACTTCAGTAAAACAGTTATTAGATCATTGCCTCATCCATCTCTTTTACCTGCTATTGACATGGATTTAAATTTGATGTTTTAAAAGAAAAATAAGGAGGATATTTCAGGTTCCAGTATGGTTCAACAATATATAGATAAAAAATATTATGGATATGTTAAATTTTTTATGGATGCTTCAAAAATATTCCAATATTAGGAATGGTGTTTTGTTTTAGTTTCAGAATTTATTTTTAAACCGGGTAAAAGAATCAGTGATGGAATTCAGCCTACAAAGAAGAAATGTTTTGGATCATATTGGCCTTACAATGGATTGAAGAAATCGTTCCATTAAGAAGTTTAGTTTGCTCTGATTTTAGATCAGCGACCGTTATATTAATTTAAACGCAATTATTCAGACAGCAGACCTGATCTGAAATTTAACAATTATTATTTAGAAGACCTTTTACAGATGGACTCTAAATAAGAGGGTTATTCTTTATTATATATATTAAAAAGAATAATTTGATAGACAGGATTTTTCAGTTGGTGGCGGTAATTGTTGTTTGCCAACCTCCATAAAAAAACAACAAAAAGAAGAAACACCCGCCACAAAAGCTAAGAGTAAGGCCAATATGATCCAAAACATTATCTATATACTGTTGAACCATACTTGAACCTGAAATATCCTCCTTATTTTTCTTTTAAAACAGCAAATTTAAATCCATGTCAATAGCAGGTAAAAGAGATGGATGAGGCAATGATCTAATAACTGTTTTACTGAAGTTTATTTGAGATAATTCAAGATATTTTATAGTACTATCTTAGGAATGTTGAAAAAATAACTGTAAGAGTTTTTGATTTTCCTGATTGTGTTTTTATTTATTTATTTATTTATTTATTTTTTTCATTTAACCGGATGTAGTATTTGGAACGAATGCTTACATATTAATGAACTGTAAAACATATGAACCTGAAAGGGAAAAATTGAGAAGAGTAGTTGAAATGACAGGCCAAGAATGGAGTCTTAAAGGATTATTGGGAAATAAAGGAAATATAAAGGATATTTATAGATTAAGGAAAGCATTATTTAGTTATCTTCAGAATGCAAAATAAAAAAATAGAATTTAATAGATGTAAAACAATGTTGCTACACACTCATGAACAGTAGGTGGCGGTATGCACCTTAAAGTTGCTTGCGATCCGCCATGATAGAAAAGAAGAAGAAGAAGGAAGGAATGCTTTCATTGGATGAAAAGAAGCTGGGTGTGATTGGCTGATGGTATGGTTCATTTACATATATTGCTGAAGTTGCGAGCGCAGAGAGTCGAGCGTGCGGAGAAACAGCCGAGCGCACAGCTGGTGTTGGGCGCGGAGAGAGAGCAGGTCGAGCGAGCGCGAGCAGAGACGGATTCGAGCACGCGCAGAGATGAAACTGAGCGCGAGAACAGTGTGTTGAGAGGGTTTTTCAGAGTTGAGCGCGCGCTAGACCGGTTTTGCGCGCGCGCGTGTTGTCTCACTGCGCGCTCGGATTGGTTCCTGCGCGCTAAACCGATGGCACAAATATCTCTCCATAAATTTCTAAAAGTAGAATGGGAGGCAGATCTTTTAGTTATCAGGCTCCTCTCCTGTGGAACCAACTACCAGTTTTAGTCCGTGAGGCAGACACCCTGTCTACTTTTAAGGCTAGACTTAAAACTTTCCTTTTTGATAAAGCTTATAGTTAGAGTGGCTCAGGTTTTCCTGAGCTATCTCTATAGTTATGCTGCTATAGGCTTAGACTGCTGGAGGACATAGGGACCCCCATTTCATCATTCTGCTTCATTTTATCTCTATACTCCCACTCTGCAGAATCTACTTGTTTAATCTCTAACATTCTGCTCTCTCTGCTTTTTCTCATAGTAGCTTCACCTCGTCTCTTCCTGTTTGGCTGTGACTCCATCATGGAGAAAAATATCAGCTGTGCTGCTGCCATCAACGCCCTTGTGAATAGATGTTGGAGGTTGGCCTGCATTTCAGTGTAGTCCTGTTTCTCTGATTGTGACTAGCTGTATGTGCTCTCTTCATCCTCTGACATGGGAGCTGGCTTGGTGCTCGTCTGCCTGGCTGTGTGTTTCCTGGACGGGGCCGCCTTTTACAGCTGCTTCTTGTGTCTCTGCTTTGTCTCCTTGAACCCCAGTCGGCCTCAGCAGATGGCCGCTCACACTGAGCCTGGTTCTGCTGGAGGTTTCTTCCTCTTAAAGGGAGTTTTTCCTCTCCACTGTTGCTACAAGCATGCTTAGTGTGAGGGATTGCCTTCGAGTCAATCAGTCGATGCAATCAACTGGTTTTCCTTAGATAGAAAACTTTGTATCAATTTGACTGTATGATCTGGTGAACTGTAAAGTGCCTTGAGATGACTTAATTAAATTGAAAATGATCTTAGCTGCTCTGTTGGGCTCTAAGATCCGCAAACAAATGCAGTGCAGTTCAAAGACAATTAATAGCTTATAAATAAAGATTAATGTATGCATTGGAAATAATTTTCTGAATCTTTTCTTATGAATATATAAATATTATGAGCTTGTTTGAAACATTACGTGCATGTGTGGATCACATAGTGAGTTTGTGAATATTGAGACTAATTTAGCTCCATATAAAACTGCTTAAATATTTCCCATCTCTATTTTTGTTTGAATAATTTAATATATTTTAGCTTCTGATTGGCTGAAATATCTGCTTTGCTGGTGTCTCACCTGCGCCTCGTCTGTGTTTGGGAGCGGCAGGGTTCGAGGCGGTCGTCTCCTCACTGGCTTATCCTGATGAAAACCAATCAAACATAATTAGCTCCACCTCATGCAGCCTCTCTGTGGAACATTTTAAACATTTTCCATTCTCTCTTGTTGTTTGTTTGTGAAACTCACCTCTTGGTTCCCAGCAGGGCTGTTTGGCTGAGGAGCCGGGCCTTTGAATTTTCCTGCGAGTTCGGCCACAGAGCGGCGCGGCGGAGCCTCTTTCTGCAGGATGGAAGGTGAAACACAGGTAAACACCTGGTGAGAGTCGGTCCTGTTTAACTTATTGTTCCTTTGTATGAGTAGTTCTCAAACTGAGAGGGGGCATTATTGCAGGGGGGCGTAGTAGAAGTGAACTAAATACTTTTTTAAATAATAAATACTGATGATAATGCTGAATTCTTGCAGACCTTAAAATAAACAGTAAACCACCTTAAAATATGTAATGGCAGTAAGGTTTAATGTTGTTTGAACCGTCGAAAGGATTCGTTGGAGATTGGTTGGTTTGGGGCATAAAATCTTTATTCACAGAAAGGGGGCCCACCAAGGAAAGTTTGAGAACCCCCTCCCTAGACCAAGAACAAAAAAAACCTACAAAAAACTACCAACAAAAGCTAATAAAAGATTGGTAAATTATAACAAACTCACAGCTTAAATATCACTTAAGAGATGATCAAAAAATTTTTATCTTCAAGATACAAAACAACCAGATAATGAATAGAAAGAGTCAGAAAACATCACAAAATTAGCAAAAAGAGAAAGATTTCAGCCATCTGATCTCTGTTTGGAGCTAAAATCCTGATTTTGGAACTTTTTCAGATTCAAGCAGGGTGGAACATTTTCTGATCTGCAACTGTGACCGTTCTGAAGCTTTTTACATTAGTACAATAATGGCATATTTAAGCATTGACACTCTGGAGTGTCTGAAGATTTGATTGGTTGGATGCTCCCTAATGGCCTTTGATGCAGACCACAGAAATTATATTAGTGGCTGAGATGCTGGAGCTTTCAATACTGCAGGAAAGGAAAAGAAAGAGAAGAGTCGTAGAAATTAAGGTTAACTCTGATGAAGCCTGAAGGATCCATGGGGCAGAGCTTTCACATAAAAACATTCCTCCTAAAAGGTTCTGATGTCTGAAAAAGACTCTCAGAAATCCCAAGAAAGAGATCAAGGAGAGGATCCGCCTGCACCTCTTCCTCTGGTTTCTCCTCTGAGAGAACAAATCCTTGTTCAGGTTCTGTTACCTTCTGGACTTGAAGCTCTAAGCCGGAGGTCTTCCATAGGGGGTCCGTTACCCCAAGGGGGTCCACGGAGGTACTGCATGGGGGTCGCAAATGTTTTGGTTCATAACTTTTTTTTTTATATTCCCCACTGCAATTTTTTCCACTTATTTAAATGTCTTTAAATCCACATTAACATGATAAACAATTGAGGCATTAGATGTCTTTTAGTCATCAATGCACACATTCAGCGACACACAGGAGCTTTTTCAAGCTGGGCACCGTTTCATTCACAACACCTGTCCCATCAACCAGGAATCAGAATCAGAAATACTTTAATAATCCCAGGAAGAAATTACTTTTGTTACATTACTCCATCTGTAATAGAGTGACTATAGGACCAGTTTGATATAACACCATTTCATACAATATATATAATTAGGGGTCCACGCTCCATCAGTTTGGGGGTCTTTGGCCTGGAAAGCGTTGAAGACCCCTGACCTAAGCTTCTGTTTCTGCATCAAACAGTGAGATTGTCTGTGGGGTCCTCACAAAGATACCCAGAACTCCCCACACCCAGCTGTTGACGTGGGGATGATCCACGTCCATCTCAGCTGAAGGCTTTACATAGCTGACATTCATCAGATAACCCCCCCCCCCACACACACACACACACAGGCAGCCTGAAAGCAGAGGGTGGAGAGTGAAGAAAGAAAACTGCCGTTAACCCACTTCCTCCTCCATCTGCTGGAGGTTTGCTGACTGTTTGTTTGAGCAGCAATGGTTGTCAGGGTCTGTGTTTGAGAGGAACAGACCTCCTTTGAGCCTTTATTTGACCCGACAGAGAACCGGGTTCTAAAGCACCAGTAGGAACTAATCCTTTTCTACAGACGGTCATAAACAAATTGGATCATTTTATTGTCTTTGGACAATTTTTGAGATTCAACATTTTGGTATGAGATTCAGAATTCATAAAAATCCCCCATAAAACAGCATTGAAAAAATTATTAAATAAATATCAAACCAGCAATAGCAACCATGGAACTTCGGAAAAATCACTAAACACCCAAAATCAGCAACATCATACAAACCAGTAACCATCAGTGGAATAATAATGAGCATAAAAAAAATTTTGTAAAAACTATAAAACAAACCTTACAGTTTATAAAAAAACAACTTATGACTAATTGATTAATTTAAAGTATAAATAAATAAACTAAAACACATTATGACCATAAAACTAAGAACTGCATCACTATAATCAATATATGATAATAAATCCAATAAATAACCATTAGAAACCAATAAATAAAACAACAAATAATAGCCAGTAAAAAAGTTAAGTAGTTATTATTTTGAAATTGCCAAATAACCGATATATAAAAACCATAAAATAAATAACAAAATCAACATTTTAACAAAGAAATAAATCCATACCACTAATAATAATACTATATAGATAATAAAAACACAAAGCTCGACAATCACCATGATAAAACTAATTCAGACGACCATAAAGTCAATAATTACAGCCACAATTCTAGGAATAAATAGCAGAAGTAATAAACATTATTTAGTCAGTAATTAATGACCAAAAACATACATAATATATATATAAACCTAATACCTAAACAAGAATACATTGGAAAAGTGCAAACAGATAAATTAGACTGAAAAGGACAAACACTGTAAAAGAGAAATGCTGCAAAGATACTAAACACAGAACAGCAAGGTTCAAATAGCCTGCAAACACATAAATGATGCCTACACACAAAAAAAATACAAAAGGAAAATGCTGCCAGTAGCAAAAACAAATGCAAATCATGAAAAGCTGCTAACGAGCTCTGCATATGAGTGAGCTCCAGACCACTATGGGGAGACAATCATTATCTCATATGGGACTTTGTTTCACAACTTTTACATAGATTTTGACAACGACAGAAGAGAAGACTGGGGTTCAGACAGAAATTAAAAAAATACTCAAGTTCACGTTACCACTGAACCCACTGCATTATATACTGGGTTTGACGATATTGGGAAAAAGGAAGTCCAGTTACTACAGATTCTGCTACTAGTAGCGAGAAAAATGATAACTTTGTCTTGGCTCAACCCTTTGCCTCCCACCCTTCAACAGTGGCAAGAAAGATTGAAGAATGTGTATATAATGGAAAAGATAACAGCAAAACTTCATGTAAAAATGGGCATTTTTCTGAGTGTTTGGACCCCAGCTATTTCCCACTTTGGATGGCCACTCTGATAAAGATGCTAAGTGTTATAAAAAGCTGCTAGGCCCCTTGACATAAAAGACACTGGATATAAACATTTCTCTTTCATGTGAGCCGATGAAAACATCTAAATGTCAATTGCCAAAATGGACTTAAATGTTTGCTGTGACCCCCCCCCCCCCCCCCTTGTTTGTTTTTTTTTCCTTTATGTAGGTGCATTCAAAAATATACATATGTATGTGTGTTGGATTCCTAATAATCTTAAATAAAGAATGTTAAAAAAAAGAAGAGAAGACTGTCTGATAACAAAATTAAACAGGTGGACATTTGATAACCCAGTATAAAAACTTAAAGACCAAAAAAAAACCCCACAAAGAACTGATGCTGCTTTTAGCAAGTCTGCGTGATTAATTTAAGGTCCTGCTGTTAAATGTTCAGCGGTGTAGGGGGATTTTACAGCCAAGATGGCGGCATAGATAGAGATAGCAGCTTTTGCCCACCGGGTTAGCAGAGGGGACACACCAAAGAGGATTCAGCCTGAAACGACACTGGACTGGCTGGACCCCGGAAATGTAACGGTATTCCTGGAGGAAATATGCCAGACAGAGGGGAGGCACGGTCAAAGACCCAGAACTTTAGCAAATGAGCCGACATCAGAGCTAAACCAACAGTGAAACCAGCATCAGCATCTCATCGTCTACTCCCTGATCAACAGGATGGACAAGATTATATAAAATGAACAACTGGACAGAGCTGCCTCATGGGAATAATGGAGACCCGGCTGTGTATGGAATCAGCAGGTCAAACGATTATCTGGGCTGAGAGCAAATAAGACTCTGGTAGGACCAGAGGACAGTTGGTACACAGAGTCTGCCATTACTATGAGGCACCGCCCCACAGACCTGGAGACGTCACCATAAAAATACAGACTCCACTCAGGGAAACAAAGTACTGAATGTTGGAAAACTGTAAATCATATACCAGTCTCATGTTTACATTTGATCACAGCTGCATTATAGAAATAGAAATATCTTGAGAGCTGTACTGAAAGAAAATTTGTTTTGTATACTCTGTGTACAAAATGACAATAAAGTCTGTCGAAGTATAAGTCTAAGTCTAACTAGGGATGCATGATATTCATCGAGCCGATTAAATATCGGTCGATCTGCCTGAATTTTTTACCTGAAAACTTTGTGTGTGTATGTAGGCCTATTTCATTATAGGAATGGAAACTAAATTAGTTTATAAATGTCCAAACCTGACATATATCCTGAAATACAGGCATCACCTTGAATTATTTTTATTTATTCTAAACTGACAGAAAGCCCAGGTTTCAACCACAACCCCTGGATCTAAAGAGGTTTGCATAAATTTTAGCACGACCCAGCAGTGCACATTGTACCTATACCAAGTACTGTTTCTTTTTTGGTGGTTCCTGCTCCCCTTCTTTGCTCCTCCTCTTCATGCCCATTTCCTCCTCTATATCCTCTCCCACCTCGTTCGTCTCCTCTTCCTCACTCGTGTTACTGCCATTATCATTTCCCTCTGCATCAACTCCAAGGCCTAAAATAACATTGGCCTTCTTAGCTACTACTAACAATAACAGTAACATTTTGAATGCTTTTGCAAAAGAAAAAAGAGTAAAATCTTTAAACTCAGAAATCCAATAAATGAAACAGCAAAAATACAGCCCTGCACACACAAACATGGCAAGTGAAGAACTTAACCTCTTTCTTGAGACGGTAAAAAGTGTGATTAATGTAGAAAATGAACAGGAAA